CTCTCACACTCTCCTCTCTCTCACACACACACACACACACACACACACACACACACACACACACACAAACACAAGAGACGCCTCACCTCCTGTCGTCTTGACAAATCAAGTCAGCCAGAGGGAAACCGAGAGTAATAGTATGCCAGAAGTTCATCATAGGGTTCATAAAAATAAAGGGCACAAGAGACACAAACACATCATGACTCCTTTCCCTTCATGTACTGCTTACAAACTGGATGATGAACTGTGTGTGTGTGTGTGTGTGTGCCTGTGCTTGGCTTCGGACAGAGCTCTAATTAATCTTGTCAGAGAGAACCTTTTGCTCCAGTTACTACTGCCACACACAGAGGAATTTCTTAGAAAGAGGCTTCCTCCGCCTTAAAAAAAATTAAGCTGGTGGCATGCTGCACAGACACACTCACACAGGAAAATAAACAAGCAGATCAGGCGCTTCAGAAATGACCCAGGGGCTGGTGTGTGTAGGTGTGTGTGAACATAAACAAGCCAGCATAGAGAGAATGATCAAGAATAGACTGTAAGTGTCATGCAAGTCATTTGTGATGCGGTGGCAAGTCTGTCTTTATTGAATAACCCTACCATAACAACTGTCTTAACTGTGCCTCCTCCCTCAAGCATCTCTCTGAGCAATAATGGACAACACAACGGATGGCAGCTGAGTGAAGCAGCGAAGACACAGTAGGACGCCGAGAGGATATGATGGAAAGACAATGAGAGAGCACCACAAAACTCAGCTCCTGGCTGCAGGCCACCTTACCTTTGCTCAAAAAAGAGGGAGCAGTGCTTGTGCTCATTGATCTACTGTGGGCTGAGGGTGTTGAAGGAGATGGTAAATAATTAACGATAAGCACTGTGTGGAGGCTAATTGAGAATTAGGAATCAGATCAGCGATAATGGCAATCGGAGTATGGAGAGAGTAGGAGCAGGTTCACAGCAGAGATACAGGACCATGGAGAGAGGGTGATGAAACACACCAGTTTGAGCTGTGTGTGTTTGCAAAGAAAGTGCAGGATGCTATTAAGTGGGAGGTATGCAGAGCGTGAAATAAGCATGATAACACAGACAGAGAGGAGAGCAGTGGAGATGGAGAAAACCCCAGGAAAGTGAAGGGAAGGTCTTGCAATGAGCAAGAGTGTGGCCCCTGATGTACATACTATAATATATATCACTTTCATACTTTTCTGAGAGTTCAAAGGGGGAATTTTGTGTATGTGTGCACAAGACAATGTTTGTGCAAGTGTGTTATTAAAGGTGAGAAAAAGTCCTAGCGTCAACACGTTTTTCCCATTCCAGGTAGTAAGTTGGAGTGTGATGACAAATTTCCCAACACAAGCAAAAAAAAAAAAAGCTGCACTGTCAGGCAATTGAGCTCTGGCTTCTTTTTTACAAAGTTTTTTTTTTTTTTTGAAGAGGAGAGAAAGCACATAGGTTAAGTTGGTTCTCTCTTTGTGTGTACACGAATGTGTGTGAATAACAAACAGCTGTGAGGGAGACAGCGATAAGTTAATGACATTAGGTTTATTCCCCCCAGATGCTGTACAGTACATCCCGACTTGACACAAAAAGAAAGTTTCAATGCAACAGCACAGTAAGCATTGTGTGACTCTGCAAGGATGAATTCATCATTATCAGCCACGTTAATAAGGAAATATCACCAGAAACCTTTTGGCATACGTGCAACAATGAGAATGTGTGCACACAGTGTGGTGGATTCTGGGGTTTGTAGTTCAAAGAGGTGCTAAAGAAAGCAGTTCCTTTTACACTGCACATTGCTGGTAACCGTTTTAAAGTTTTCCATTTGGTGGCACTCGCTGAAGGTGGCATGACCAGCATTGTGCCTGACACACACATAGTGCATTTTCTACTGTAGTAATATTCTCTT